TTTTAAGGACAAGCTAAAAACAACTCTAGCCCAATAAAAGAAAAAGACGAATATCAGTTATCCAGATACATTTCAGAAAAAAACGGCTTTCGTGAATTAGCAGTGATTTAAAAATAAACCTTTTGCTAATGATTTAAGGAAGAGTTTAGCTTCTTTAGTTACTGTGTTGTAACATTTTTGATCCTACGAATACAGGTCAGATAGACCCTTAGTATGGCGGATATTAAAACACGGTTATATTTTTATTAAAAATCATAGCTTAGTCTCAAACTCCCACTAATAGGTTTTTCGTTGTTTATTTTTATTGCTTGTTTGGTTATAAATATTTAAGTAATGATTAAGTTTCAGAGTGAAAGTTAAAAACCAGCGATCTTATAAGTTTACAATATTTTTTATTATTACAAAAACCTCTCCTCTGCTCTATTACCTTTCAAACTAATTTTGTATGATATTACTTCGAAAGTCAGAGCAGAGGATGCTATATGCTGTGATAGCGCTCGCACGCACGCATGCACATACGCACATACGCACGCACGCACGCACGCACGCACACGCACACACACACACACACACTCACACACACACACACTGTCATCACATCAATGCATTATTGTCATTGACATTAGATTTCCAATTAAAGCCGTGTCGTTTGATTTAGAGTTTTTTTTTATAATTTGGAAAACTTTATTTTCCTTGGATTCAGGTTTAAAATTTAATTGAGAAATTTGCCATTTTGTAATAAGCTCGTGATGTCTACTCGTCATATACGTGTTAAAATACATATGTCGGGTATTTAGACTAAATTAGTGTACTTTTATATTATTTAAATTTTATAAAATGTAATTAATTCAATACGATACGATGGTAACATTGACATAAAATGGAGGAACCTCTTCCATCTCTTTCTTTTAGTTACACCTGTCTCCGTCTCGCCTTAATTGCATTAGTTTTAAGTAAAGACGCATTTAAGTTAATCTGCCGCTACGTCTCCCGTTAAATGGAGTAATGTGGGATTAGTTAACTTAACTAAGCGTTAAGTGTTTAGTAAGTGATTTTTGGGACAGGTTCTTAAACACCTTACTTGCATCATAATTTAATTAATAATGTAATGAAACATGTTAACGTTTCGGTTTACAAGCTTCTGGGTAGACTATCACCTAATAATAAAAACGAACAATTGATCTGTGCTCAAACTAAGAAATTTTTAAATATTTATTGTGTAATTTTGTGAATATTTTTTTCGTGCTTCCTATACCTATTCCTGTGTTTTTGATGTGTCATTTTGTGTTAAATTTAAAATGTTTTGTTACATGGACAAGTACGAAATATTATAAAATATTCCTATTTGTGAAATTGATAGAATTGAATCACTCTCGATGATTAGGTCCTCAAGAGTGCAACTGTGAAGCAAAGTTACTAAAACTCATATTATTTAACCAATTAGAATTGTATACCTATATGTTACGCTGTTTATTATAGGTACCTATATCTATAATAAAAAAGCGATATATTGTATGTATCTGAACGCTTAGAATGTTTTTTAATTATTTTAAATCAGTGTTTCCCAACCTTCTTTCGCCCAAAGATCACTTTTAAAAGGTTTGGGGCAAAAATCTATGATAAAAACTCAAACTAATATACTCACGTAAAGTGCTGGCATCAACAACGTATCTAGGAGTATCTTAAAGTGCCAACATTGCCACCTGAATGGTTTTGTTTTTCTTCATCAACTGTTTCTTGATTTTTATAGCCGAAGCGAAGAAATAATTTTCACTTCTTAATGCCATATAACGATAGACTTCGCTTACTAAAACGAGGTTAATAATAGTAATTTATATATAAGCAGGATATTTGCTTTAGTGGAAAAACATTATTTTCTGGTTATGTGAGTGACAGATGTCACAGATTGACCAACAAGCCCACAGAAAAGGTTTTATTCAGTAAGTTATTATCGTAAGAGCAAACACTCGACTAGAGAAAGTTAAAAAAAAAGAAATAATTGTTTTTTAAAATGGAACTAAATGCGGAGATCTTGTCGTTTTTACCTCATAGTACATAAACAGTTAATTTCTACAATTTTACTTGACTGCGGCGAAGCGAAAAGGAGGGTATGATCTTGGCTGGTATGTATGTATTTATGTAATAATGTTCATATGTTCCCTTATAACTTTGAAACTACTAATCGAAACTAGACAAATTATGTATCATTCGAAGCGTCTTAGTTGTCCGCGTGCTATAGACTATTTGACGTTATATGAAATTGGCAACAGCGCTCTCTGGAGAGCGTAAAGTAAGATGGTAAAAAATATATTATTCAATTATTCCGTTTAGGACTACGCTGTCCTATGATCATCGCTATTATAATATATATAGCTGTCGCAATAAAGTAAATTTCTTGATTCAAACTTTTTAGAGCGTGATTTAGCTGTAGTCGGGCTTCAGTTTAATTTTTACCTTAGTGTAGCCCGGCCAGAAAAAAAGTAAAAGTATTTTAGCTGAGACTTTAAATTTTTTTCTTTATTTAGGTAAAATCAAATTAGTGACTCTAATTTTGTGTTTCCCAATTCTAGTGAAAATTACAGTTAAACCCATTATTTATAAATCGGTTAGGAGTTCTATGGTGCAGCGGTTAGCACGTTCGGTCTATTATACGGTTGTTGAGCAACTTTCTCAATGGCTGGCCATAGGGTTGGTGATAAAAATGTTATTATCTCGAACATTAATATTCTGGTGTTATTGTTGATAACTCGGATTCTGTCTTCACTTACTTTGTGTTTTAGTTCCTATTTTACACTAGGATCTACAACAATATAGAAGAACTGTTTTTACAGGTATGTGTTTGACATGCCATGTAAGTTAGTTGATAATATCTAGCAAACTTTTGACCAGTGGGTCAGGTTTTCTTTTAATGTGAACAGAGTCATTTGTCAATATATCAGTATGAGGCAATAGCAACATCTCAATCTATACCTTCACGCCTTATACCTTTCGGAGTATGTAGAGACAGAGTGCTACAAGTCACGGTCCTGCCTGATACATCTTTTGTCTCATCCACTTTCATAAATGCTCGCCGGTATCGCAATTCCGAAAGTTTGTAATACTTCTAAAAGGTCAAAAAAAATAGTAAACTGTGAGACTAAAATATAATATAGCTTGGCATTCCCGCTTCATTCCAAACACGTTTCTTCAAATAAAACAATTGTTTAAAAAATATTTAAATAAAAAGTTGGCATTACTTCTTAGCAAAGAAATATTAATGTAAAACAATAATACACTTTTTTAGAAAATTGTATAGGTTTTATATTTGAACTAATATGTTGCGGGCCGCAGTTTGAGAATCTTTGTTTTAAACTCATAACAGAACCCGCCGACGCGACGGCTCCATTCCATTCCAACTACTCTGGTTTTTTTCATAAGTCTGTAACCATTGGCTACGGGAGCACTCGACATTCCTCCCCTCCCCTCTTGCTTTCCCCTACACAAGAGCAGCCAGAAATGTCAGGAATTTCATATTGAATTTTCATGGCTTACCCGACTGACGTACAAGTGCTAGGAAATTAGTTTGTCCTCTGTAACTAAAAGGAAAGAATGTTTGAAAAGGAACTCTTGAGTTTTCTAGAGTGAATTAAATATGGTTTTATGTAGGTATACATATGCAGAACGTCCAATATGTGAAACGTATAAGCCCAAAAATTTGTAAGAGTTATTCTTATTATATAAGCATTTTTTATTACATATCATTTTATGCTCTCGAAAACTTGAAGATCGTTGAAAATTTTATAAGCAGGTTTACCAAAAGGTATCGAATATAACAATGTTGCATTTGGTTGTTCCGTCTGTCACGGGATTGTATCTTTAGGTATAGGAGATAGACGAATTTATTTTTGGCAGACTACCTACGTGTCATTAAGATCTCTATCATGACAAATAGTAGGTAAAAAATATTTTCATGGTATTTTTTTCCATTAATATAAAATGTTTTGCGTTTATAAACGGAGGTGTTATCTTTTTGTTTTCTTAAAAAAAATCATGGAGTAGCATTAGGTTACAGAAATTACAGATATTTTTTTTTCACAGAAGCGCTAGTTTCTAAGCGAATCTTATAATTAAGTTTACAAAAAAAATACGTTTCCTTTTATCATGCGGCACCTAATTGGTAACGCTATACCCACCTATCTAAATTGGCGTCATTGTCGTGCTCTAAGTATATCATTGATATTTACATTATTTTGTTTTATTTAACAGTACCTAAATAATATGGAGCAAATTTCATGTTGAGATAAAAAAAAAGTAAATTGACAATGACATTCATATTGAAAAATTTAATAATATACGGTCCAGTGCCGTTTCGAATCCGCATTCCTTATTCAGTTACGTCCGAAAATTAAAGGCTTTTACAAGAAATCGCACTCAGTCGTCGACGGCAGCGGCATCGAAGGTTCGCAGCTAAAATATTTCCATTCGAGTACTCTTATTTACCGTCTATACCGTTTATACGTGTAGCGGTTGTATTTGTTTTTTCCATTACAAAGGACGGAACGCCTTGCGCACGGTATAACAATAATATTTCAATATCGTGTCGCGGAGCCAACCCTAAGTCACGTTCAAAGTGATTTCTCTGTTACGCCATTGGTCCACTCCCAGAGGCTACCACCTCGTTCGATATTCAAACCGTACGTGCGATAGAGATGGACGATCACCCGCCCACATAGAATTCCAGCGAGTAGACAAGAGACAGATATCGGAAAATTAGTGCATTAATATTACATGAACGCGAAAGCTCCGTATCAATAATACGTGCACGAATGAAATAATAGATTATTCGTTTGTTCAAATCGAACGTAAACAAAATGTAAGCATCCATTACTGATGCACCGAGAGAGATGACTGTGTGCCTTTACAAAATTTCAGTTATGAGAGAAAGAGATAAGTATGTTTCACGTCGTGTCCGCCGTCACGGTAGCTTGGGCAACAATGTGAACACTATCTGTTTTTGTACCAGTCGACAGTCGGTTTTCACATTAAACGATCATTTTAAGGGCTAACCAATCAAACTGCAAATTTATACAAATTGATACTAAACGGGTTATATTAATTTTATAACAAAAATTAAGTGTGTAAATAAGTTTGAACGGAGTCATAATTAAAACTAATTGGGTATAATACGGCGCTAATTATTTTGTATTAAGGCGTGTTTTCGCTGGAATTCTGTCCTTTTTTGTAGTAACGCGCGAGTGTTTGAAACTTTTTTGATAGTGACGTTTTACTTTTTGTTTTCAAAAAATGTTTATTGTCCGTTTGTGGTCCGATTGTGAACAATAAAACTTCTTCGTTTGAAGTGTATAGAGTTGTTTTTGGTACTGTTTGTGTAGTAATCATTGTCAATGGTTTGTGGAAGTGCGGGGAAGAGAATGCCGGTATAGGGGTAGGCCACGGGTGGCCTTTTGAGGCCATGCTTAATAATCTCACGGCTACAGCTTTAGGAGGTAAGGTATTTACCAATTTTTAATTCACATGAATATACGTAGGTATGTCAAATATATTTCATATATCTAAAGCCTACAAGCATTGAAATAAAAACAAGGCTATGGTCAATTATACATATTTATATGCAAAGATTTAAACCAACTTCAAAAAGGAGGAAGTAATCTGTTAGACTGAACTTTTGGTCCACGGTATCTTCGTCAATAATAGCACGGATATTTTATTTGATAAATGACATAAGTTTATGAATGTCTTTTGTTTTCAATCTCGTAAATGGGTTTCCATTTACAAGACTGAAAACTTTCCGAAAACATGTCTTCTCTAAAAAATTATAAAGTCCACACGTTATCCCGGAGCTTTATGTTAAAGCAGTCACCCGAATTATGAAATGTTACGGGTTTGATCTCGTCTGGTCGCCAGGAGTACCCCTCTCGCAGTGACTAGATATAGGAATATATCATCTTAGCGATGTTTGTTGGCATGTCTTTTGGTGGATATAGGTACGAATATGTTGGTAACACTGGCTTTAAATTCATTATCATAAGTTTGCTATTATTGAAATACATATTAAAATATAAAATAAAACGCATTATCACCATGACATCGCTATAATATCGTATCCTTTGGCTAGATTGTAGATTGAGTGTTAAATAAATCTAGGGCTTCATGTTATAAATGAGTATGTGTCCAAAAGGGCTGCGTTCTGGGTCCACTATTGTTTTTGATGATATATACCTTCATGACATAACAAAATTTTAATGTAAGTACTCTTTTTAATATAACTTGTTGTGAAAATGAAATGAAATAATGTTACTTTTTTAGATAAAATAGATATATATTTTTTTATTGGAATATGAATGTATTGCAGTTATTAATGACACAGTCTGTAAAAATATTAACTGTATATCTCTAGGTTTTTAATATTAAATTTACAACTTACTTGTGGAGATTTGTTATTAGCATCGGAATAATTAACTACATTTTACGTAAATCTTCCTAAAAAAATTAAATATATTCAGGGTAATAAAATCACCTACTCAACGTGCTGTGTTGTTGGCTTGTCATGGTTATGTGAGCTCTTTATTACGATATGAATTTTGCTATGAGGAAATATTACTGATTCTATTAGAGAATTCTTGTTTCAGAAAAAAATAATATATGAATGTAAAAAATGTGTCTTTTTTAAATTATCCTGACTTTTTTATAAAACAGAAGATTTGTAGTCAAGTAATAGTAGAAATAGTAACAAATAATATGACTTAAAATTTGTGTCATTATTTAATGTGATTATAATAACTTAAGCTGAGATTTATGATATAGTTTGTGTAAAATAAAAATGCACCGTCATCACATTACATATAAGATCTCTCCTACTCCGTTTTTGTGAATAAATTATTGAAATTATTATATTACTATTAGAGAATGTTCCCCCTCTTGGAATTGGAGAAAGTATTCTTTATAAGATATTTTTTTCATTACTAAAATCAACTTCAAACAATAAAGCTAATACTTAATACAAAAAAAAAAAACAATCGAACTGTCAGACGTGCCAAGGCGTAGGTACCCGAAATCAAAAAGAAGATGTTTTTTATGTTATAAAATATGCCTTTAGTATAAAATTATTTCAAGACTGCAAACTAGAAACTATATAAGTAATATTAGGACAAGAGTCCTCGTATTAAGAATAACATGCAGTAAGAGCTATATATATTTGTATTGTTTCATAATTATATGTATTTCTATTATTTATAAATTATGTAATATACCATGGACGTAGTTAATCAAAAAGGATCCATCCCACACTATGTCACTTTTGAGATATAGACCATTGAAGTTTAAGTTGTATTTGCATGTTGATGTAACATTTTTGTGTATTATATTTTTATCTAATAGTATAGAAAACTACTTACATTATCTTATTATAATGTCATTTTAACAGAACTAACAATATTTATTAAAATATAAAGGTTAAAGTATGTTTGGACCCTTTTTGATATATTTAGGTTTTAATTACTTTATTCTTACAAAACAAATCTCAAAAACGATCCAAATAAAGAAATAATGGAATAATTAACTGAAACGCCAAAATTTAATCGAAAAAACTATTTATTAAAGGTTCTTCATATTTATTGTTTTAATTTTTAATGTCAAATGTATTCTCACTATCTGAAATCCTATACCTTTTAATAAAATTACCTTTCAACAAAATTGATTCAAGCGTTTTGAACCTTTATTGTGATTTTTAACCAAGATTAGTGCCTTTGATTTGCTAATTTGCTATTTTACTATATGGATCCAAGAAGCTTAAGTCGTTTTCATGGAAATAAAATATGAACCTAACAAAGTTGTAGGATGGTAACTACCATTGAAAAAAACGTCAGATATTAAATATAGCTCAGAGCTTTTTTTATATCTTGAAAGTATCGATCATGATGGACATTTTGGTATACTTAACTCATTTTCTACCAATTTGTGGGTTGGATCCTTTTTGAGTAAATACTTCCCTTATCAATGATTTTGATCATATAAGTTTATTTAAATTAATTATATTGCTATATTATTAATTAAATTAGTCTTGTAATAAGGGGTCCTTATAGCTGCTTATATAACAACATTATATTAAAGTACCCTACTGTTTTTTAGTCTGGTGCTTCACATTAGGGGTTAAAGTATGAAATTGCCATTTTATTGTAATAGGTTCCTTGAATTGACAAAAAATTTTCATGGTTTGAGGTTTTCGAAAGAAACTGTTTTCACATGGTTTCTATGATGTTCTTCTTTAAAAAAATGTGAAACATTTGAATATCGACTTTCAATTGTTTTTGTTATTCAATTTACAATTAGACAAGAAAGATGGATACTGTAAAAATTAGAGCGATTTTTGAATACGAGTTCCGACGCGGAAGTAACGCGGCAGAAACAGCCCGCTATATCAGTGTTGCGTTTGGAGAGGGGTCTGCTAAAGAAAGCACCATGTGATTCTTGTTTAAACGATTTCGTGGTGGAAACTTCGATTTGAAGAACGAGCCACGAGGAAGACCGCCCATACAGGTGAATAACGATGAATTAAGAGAGATGGTGGAAGCCGATCCTAGTCAAACTACCCAGGAATTAGCGGCATGGTCTAACGTTACCCACAATACTGACACATTTGCGTCAAATCAATAAAATAAAATTAAACGAAACGCTACAACAGTGTCCTAAAGCAAAACTTTCCAATAAAAAGGTAATGGTAACTGTTTGGTGGTCTCAGTATGGTGTTATTAACTATAGTTTTCTCCGATCTGGTCAAGCAATAACAGCAGATGTTTATTGTGCCGAACTCCAAACAATGTTGGCAAAACTAGACTTATGAATCGATCTTCACCATTATTGCTCCATGACAACGTGAGACCTCATACAGCACGAGAAACCGTTTTGACCCTTCAGGAACTGCAATTAGAAACCATTCGTCATCCTACGTATTCGCCAGACCTTGCTCCAACGGACTACCATTTTTTCATTATTTGGACAATCATCTACGTGATTAGAAGTTTTCTTCACAGTAGGCAGTACAGAATGCTTTCAAACACATTGTGCAGTCTAGATCCTAGTTCAATTGCAAAGGCATGAATGACCTTCCTATTAGATGGCAGCAATGTATAGATAATAATGGTTTTTGACTTATTTTGATTAAATATTTATTTTTAAATTAAAAAATAAACAATTTTGGTTTTCAGTACAAATCGGCAATTTCATACTTTTACCCCTATTATTATGCTACACTCCACTCTACTGCACTGAAATTATCTATTAAAGTTCATTGAATCCTTTCAAATTAAAGTTCATTTATTCACTTTTCCATATAAGTTTTATATTCCATTAATCTATAAGTAAAATATACTTAGTCTGGCTATGAATACTGGTAGAATTAAAAATAAAAAAAATATGACATTTGAATTTCGAATATGCCATTTTTATGTGATCGTTCAATGTCTTTTCTTATTTTCGCGATAGTACATTATGTATATTAAAATGAAGTGGGACGATAAAGAGAACCGCATTGCTGTGATGGCATTACACAAAGAAGGTATGGAGTCAAACACAGTTTTTAAAACCTTCCAACGCTTGGTATTAGTCTAACGTTTGTATACCGGGCTATTGATAGATACAATGAAACCTCCTCTGTTTGTGACCGAAAAAGATCTGGCAGTCCACTTAGTATTCGTACGAAAAAGGCGATCGAAACAGTAAAGGAAAGAATTCCTCTCCGAAAGCAAAAGATTTTATCTCGGTAGATGATCTCGGATAGCACTTAAAACCATGTCGCGTATTTTAAAAGGCGACTTAGGACTTGCAGCCTATAAGAGATGTATTGGTCACTTCTTAATAAATAAATTAAAAAAAGTATGGGGTGGTATAATCAAAACAACTACTTAAGTGGTACGCAAAGTTAAATCACAGATTGACTCGGTGCCACCCAATCTTGGTTAGAAACGAATGTTCCGGACTTCCCCAGAACTCAATACTGACCGTCATCTAGTTCATGACTTAATTCGCTGGATTATGATTTAAAGTCAGTTTTAGAGAGTAACGCTTGCTCTAAACGCCATGATAATTTCGGAGTCCCTAAAACAACCTATACGATTGGCATTTAAGAATTTCCCCAAGGGAATAGCGCGTGCGTCTATTGATATCATCATCATCGTTTAAATGATTGTATTGCAACCACTTTTAATAAGCTATATACATATATATATGTCGGCGACTAGTCAGAAGGGGTTATTACGAAGCCCAAATAGATCGTCCATATCGGAAGACTATCTTTAAAATAACACTGCAGGCGTGTATACGAACGTGGATTTGTTCCATTTTACTACTTTTCATACGAAAATATAACCAGATGAGCGTGATGTCGTCGGATATCTTTACTCCTCGGCGATCGGAAACAGAATGTGTGCCAAAATGGCGGCAATTTGGTTTTTGTTAACGAACTGTCAAAGTCAGTGTCACCATTCTAATA